TTTGCTTTTACCATATGTAAGTCACTTAAGCATGCTTTTAAACAAAACAAAGATAGAACTATCGATGGTTTGCTAGCTTCACATGTGCATACCATCTTAAATCAAGAACATGAGTTTTCGTGATTGTGTATGTATGTGTTTGAATTCCATTCATTTGAACTGTTACATTCTTCTTTGTTTCTAGGCACCAATTTACTTTCCTTAGTATCCTATCAGGATCCCTTCCCAACTGGACTTATAAATAATAATAATTTATTATAATAATTATACTAATTTGTAACATTTGCCTACAAGGAAGAACTGCTGGGACAATAAAATAGACAAAGTAATAGAAAATGAAAAAGCTAAAGTGCTCTGGGACTTTAAAATTCAAATAGGCAAGCACCTGCCACATAACACCCCAGACTTAACAACTGTTGATAAGAAAGCCAAAGTTTGGATAGTGGATGTGGCAGTACCTGGAGGCAGCAGAGTGGAAGGAAAAGGAATGGAGAAAGTAACAAAATATAAAAACCTGAAAATAGAAATATAACAAGTAGAGCAACAATAGTACCAATAGTGATAGGTGCCTTGGGTGTATTTCCAAAATATCTGGAGCATTACTTGAACACCACTGGCATTGAAAAAATCACCATCAGTCAACTGGAAAAGGCAGCTTTGCTTGCAACAGCTTACATCCTGCAACTTTAACACCATCAAACATTTGCCTGTTCCCATTCCTTGGGAATGACTCAACAGATGGATACAAATGCCAAATCCAGTCTAAACATCTGGCTGTCTATGCAACCAACCATAGTGATAATAATGTAATTGATATTTTATAAATACTACTGTATTTGTCAAATTGAATGTTAATTAATTATAATGAATGTATTAAATTATCCACTTATTCATGGATTGGGTTAAGTTCGTTGGGGTGGCTGGGCATTACCTGGGATCATGAAATATGAGGGACTTAGCTTACCAATTTAGAGAATGGGTTTTATTGGGCATCTAATCATGAAACAAGTAAGTTCCCCCTAAGATAGTCATTTTATGAAAGCAGCTATGCCATGCTATCAAAATCTGAATTATTTACAATTTAGTAATAATTTGGATTTGAAAATCTGCACAATTTAGCAATCACTCTGGGCAGCGTTCAGATTTTTAACATACATGCATGGGACAGAAAAGCTAACCAAAGCAATTAATGGTAACAGGGGAAAATACACTAGAACAATAACAACAGACAATATACTCCCAAGTAGACGCACCTCGATCTTTTACAGAGCTGGGGTGGGGGGATATTTTCAATTATCATTTAAAGGATTTCAGGGTTCAATACAATGACATCCCCCCACCCCAGAAGGTTGCCTTCTTCAATTTAAAACATGGTTTGAATGTTCAAATCTATCAGCAGTCTCTCTCAAAGGAACAGTGAAACTTCATGCATGAAAAACATTGGAAATGAACTGAATCTGCATGAGCTTTTTATTTTATTCCCAATTGACCTTTTTGTCCAAGATCTTGATAGGTTTTTTTTTTCTTTCTGTTGTGATTTTAGCCAATATATTATCAACTAAGTATATTACAGCCTGCTCTGTCCCTAAGGGATTAAGAACTATGTGAAAGCCTCCTTTTCCCCAGAAACACATGGAGGCATAATTCCAAAAAGAGCAACCAATTTCAACATCACTCCAGGAGCCCCCAGATTAATTAGTAATGTGTTCCTCTTCCACCACACTGCTTTGAAACTGTTTGCCTCTGGTGCTTCTGACAAACCGGCTGCAATTAATGCCATTGAGATGGAGATGGGCTCTCACAGAGCCCTAATGAGCAGGCAAGGTATAAAAATGCAGAAAAAAACAGCTGATGTGTCATTTCCTTTGATATACTGTTTTTAAATGCTTGCCTCAACAAAAGAAATGACCAAGTATATTCTACACAGTATGAGATGCTGGTGTTGACATAACACCCCTGGGATAACAGTAATGATTCCAACGCAAGCAAATAAGTTACTTTAACGCAACCTTCTGCAGATGTGCGGTCCATGGCTTGCTAGCATTACATATGGAAGCAGTGTGTATGTATGTGCTTCTTTTTGTTCACTTTTCTCCTTCTCACACACACACAGATGCACAAACATGCAGACACTTTTACTTACAACAACCTTGGGAGGTAAATGAAGCTGAGAGTTAATGCCTTGAGCAAATTCACCCAGTGAAGACTGCCGTCATTCAAATTTGTAAAATGGCCTTAAGCTCTTTTTGATCCACTGACTCTCCAGTTCAATTCAGAGCAGCCTCTGATTTGTAATCATATGAGTGCTACAGATAATAAGTATACAGTAAGTATGCTTAATAGAATAATAGAGTTGGAAGGGACCTTGGGGGTTTTCTAGTCCAAATCGCTGTTCAGGCAAGAAACCCTATACTATTTCCGACAAAAATAAGCCCACAGTGAGCTCTTTGCTTCCATCTGGTAGTTGTCTGGATGTTTACTGGGAGATATGGTGGCCACACACATTGCCACGCACACACACGCACACACACACACAATTTTGACACATTTGATATCTCAGCACATTGATTTGAATTTTAAAAATGGATTGAGGTTTAGTACATACTTCTGATCACCAGTTTCTAGCACAATATGGATTGGTCATTAAGATTCTTCCATGGTAATATTTGGGTATGGAAGAGAGAGGAGGGGAGAGCAAGGGACAAAGCAAGAGAGAAAGAGAGAAAGGGAGAGAATATCTTTCTACCTATCATCTTTCTGTTTGTTTATTCCATTTGTATGGCTGCCCAGTTTATTAAGGTGACTCTTTGTGGCAAACAACCATAAACAAATTAAAACAAATTATCATCCCATTACAAAAATTAGAATATATATAGCAACCTCAGAAGGGTGTTATATTCAGTTGTTATATTCTACCTTTCCTTCAGGACAAGAAATTAAGAACATG